AAACTCCCAATCCTCACCCATAAAACCCCTAAAACCCCTAAAACCCCTAAAAACCCTGAGCCCTCACCACTGACCAACCACCCCCCTGCCCGCCCCCGCTAGAAGCTGCTGACCCACACAACATGCCGGCTGCGAATGAATAACTAACTATTAAACAATTTTTAATTTTCCCAGGTAAGGTCCACTGAGCTATGTGACTCATTTTCAGAAGTGGCTTATTATTGCGTGGAAATTTACAGCAGCCAAACACTCTAAACGCGTGACGTCGATTCTAAATGTGGAGGAGAAAACCGGAGGACGGGAGATAAATCCACGCGAGAGAAAGAACATGTAAACTCCAAATATACACAGGCGTCAGGGCCGGGATCGAACCCACAACCTCCTGTATACCAGGCGAGGTAGTTAACATCTCACCACTGGGGCACCGCGCCACCCCGGCAGTGCAGGCTGAGCGGGAGAAATGCCACGGTGGGATTGCGATGTGCACCCCCCCCCCCTGCCAACTCCTCCCCGATCTCTCCGAGTTTGATGAATTTTTGTGACTCGGGGTTCACGATTCGACACGAGAAATTGTCATTCATTTATTTGTAACACCTCCAATGAGTGGCAGCGCCTCTGTGGTGGCTGTCGAGATGATGTCAATTCACTGCGGACAACGAACATGAATTGGGGGAACCCCCACCGCCGCAACTTACGTGCAAACTGACGGCGCGTACCGTATTGTGAAAGTCCTTGAGTAAGCGACAACGGGCGTCCACTGTGGTACCGGCTCCACTCTCGTCGGATCGCTCACGCCCCCCCCGCTCATGCCCCCCACTCGCGTCCCGCTCAGCTTGAGAAAAAGACTCTGTCTTCTCCGCTTCAAAACAAACTGTCAGATGCATTGACTTTCCTGGGGCTATTTAAATGGGACGTGACATACGAAAATAAACATTTTCAAATTCGCAGGAAGCGGGGTTTTTTTCTCTCAGATCCGTCTCTTCAATGACGCTGCGGTCCCACCGACTGCGACCACTGCGACTGCGCGAGCTTGCAGCGAAGACGTTCATCGTCGTGGTGGAGCGGTGGCGCGGCGCGAACCTGGCGACCCAAGTTCGATTCCCATCCACGTTTTAAATGAGTGGCGGGCGCGCCCGATCTCGTCGAAGCTCGCAAGATGAGCAGGGGCTGAGCCCAGATAACGGTGCTTCGATGGGCGAGCACCACCGTGCACGCAACAGCTGATAGTCTTGCGCGGGGCCTACGGTGTCAGCAGACGTTTAATGTGGCAACAAATTCCGCCGTTTGAGGGTGCACTCTGCCCCAATGCCCGCGCCGCTCGCGCTCACTAACCCGCGGGGAGAGACGGCCTTCATCCCGGCAGCGGACCGAGCAACGCCGAGCCGAACGTTGGCTCGTGTGTGCGATTGAAGCCATGAACGGAGCGGGCCGCGGGGGTCAGGGCAGCGGCCCGGGCGTCTTCGTTGCGCGAGCACCGACAAGCCGGCACGCAGCCCGCCCAGCCTCGCGCCAATTACGCCCCGAAAAATAAAATCAAGCGATGACCCGCGATTAGAAATGCTCGCCATGCCGTTTCCCCGACCCCGCCGCCGCCGCCCTCCATCCCGCCCCCCCCCACCACCACCATCACGAGCGCCGCAATTTTCGCTGCGACTTCAAAGCCGAGCGGAATTAATCCCCCGTCAGAGCCGGCACCCTGCGGTGATTGTGGGGAAGCCTGCGAGTGAGCGCGATGCGAATCTAGCAGCGGACATCTCGGGGCGCCGCGTTGTCGTCGGCAGCTGTCGCTGAGATTTCTCGTTTTTGTTGTTCAGGAATCAGGCAATCAAGAGATTCCTAACGGGCCAATCAGTGGAAATAGATGAATGGCTGATTTAGGGGGGGGGGTCACAATTTACCCCCCCAAACCCCCCCCCCCCCCCACTGTACATTTCAGCGCCTCGTCTCGTTACAGCGGTTGCACACGGTATGCGCTGCTTTACTGGACTCTGTGTGTGTGGATTGCTTTGGCCTACAACGCCCAGGAGAATAAGTGGAATTTGTTTAAAAGGCCAATCTCAGCAGGCGGTGACATGGCCTCGGCATCGATGTGGCTTAGCGGTAGATCGCTCGCCACTTGCTGAACAGGCTAGTGGTTCTAATTCAAACGGCCGCCCTGATTAACGCCGCCGGCGCATTGCATCAACCGTGACAACACTGCGCGCTGTCCGCCTCAAAGTGGACGTTCAAGATCCCCTGTGTCCATCGCAAGAGTCGGCCGCGCAGCGCCGGTTACAGACGACTGTGCCGCGATTAATCGATCGGCGGGTGTGGCACGAGGTGGGATAAAGCGTGCGCACACGCCGGCTCTTCCGAGACCGCTGGCCGGGTGTCGCAGCTCGGGCTCGCAGAGCCTTCGGGAGGGGCTCTCAAGAGCTGGCGCTTGCGGAGACCATTCCGCCCGCCAGACAGGAACGAGAGCAAGCGATTGCAGGGCTGCAACCTTTGCCTGCCAGAGCTGGGGCAAAGCGACGACGCTAATTCATCGCAGTCGACCGCACGAGCCCGAGCAGTTCGGTTAATCTCTTAATTCGGAGACCCAGTTTAAAAAATAAAAAAAACTCTTCTGCGGCGATCCGGCGGTCCCCGGCACTTGCTGCGGGGTAACCGGCGTCGCCTCGCTTTGAGCTGCAGCAGCATGCGCCAGCACGGTCCGCGCACGGTAATCCGGTGCCATCATCATCATCATCATCATCATCGCCCCCCCCCCATCCCCCTCACACCCCCCGCCCCCTCCCCCCGCCCCCCGCCCCTCCCGGCTCGCTGGAGCCATCCGGACGCGGCGCTCATCTCGATGCAATTTGTATGCGACTTGTCGGCCAAAGCGTGGAGTTGGTTAAACTCACGGAAAATTCCAATTTCAGGCCTCTCCGTTACTTGAATTGGCGCGGGGAAATGCCCTTTTTCAGAAAGTGACGCCTTGGCAAGAACGAGCGCCATTGTCTCAGTGAGGCGTCGGGGGTGGGGGGGTGGGGGGGTGGGGGGGTGGGGGGAGAAAAAGAGCAAAATGAGAGCATTGGAGTGCGGCTCTTTTTGTCCATGTTTTGATGGCGAGCGGAGGAGGACGAGGTTGAAGCTCCCATTAAATTCCCTCCACCACCCCTTCCCACCATTCCCCCCCCCCACCCTCCCCACACAGCGGTGCCCACCGAGTGGCGCAGCCGCTGTGGGTGGCGCTGGCGTGGGCACTATCCCCCCCCGCCCCCCCCCCCCTCCAGCGGCGCGGGCCAAACTCACGGTGGGTTTTCAATTCGGCAATTTTTCGCCGCCTTCACAAAACGGTCACGGCGACCCCAAACGGCGATTGCGCCGCCGCCGCCGGGAAGTCTCCACGCGCGGTCGGCCCGCGACTGGGTCGCTAGCCGCGTGGAAGCCTTTCAACTGTAGTTGATTAGAGCGCGGTTGAACAATGCGCATCAGTATAGTGTCAGGGGCATATTTGTTTGCATGTTTTCGCCACAAGCGCCGTGTGGCTAACGCAGGCTTGATTCCTCGCAAAAGCTCTCCTTTTCATGTTCGAACATCTCAACGCCTCCTGATTGCCGGACAAAAAAGGTATAAAACCCACTCGTATTTTTCACAAATTTGATACTGGCAATAAGGTCCCATAGCGAAAACTTCTTTCATTCTATGACGACGGTGGTGGGGGTGCGGGGCAAGCTGGGCCGACCCCCACCACCAGCCCCCCCCCCACCAGCCCCCCCCCCCCCCCGGCCTGCGACGGAACCCAGCGGGAGCCACCGACGAAGCGCTCGGGCAGCACGGCGGACCCCATTGCAACGCCGTCGTTCGCACGACTGGAGTGGGGAGGTACATTGCTCGGAACGTTTACAAAACGGATGTTGGGGGGGGGGGCGGCACGTGGGGCGCGAGCCGTGCAGCAGAAGGCGTCCCGTCGGAGCAACATTTCGCTCGGGCGAGTTGACCTCGCCGCCGGCAGTCGCTCGAATTTACATCGACGGCGACCCTCAAAGGCAAAGATGGATCGCGACGGATGCGGTTCTAAAAGAACCGCCGATGTGTTTTTTTTAATGTTTTTTTCTTGCGTAGCAATTCCCATACGGCCATGCGCTTCGTACGCGGGTGGTTTTTATCCTGCTCCTCCTTTCGAAAGCTCCCCGAGTCGAGGTGCCGCGGAGTGGTGGGGTGAGGGAGTTGTGGGGGGGGGATGCGGTATGTTTTTCCTCTTATTGAAAAAAAAATTGTGCGAAAAAAGAAGAAGAAAAAAACACGTACGCAACACGACACACGAGGAACCCTTCGCGGAAGGCGTGTCCTCCTGCAGGAAGGGCTGCCCTGTCTCTGTGGGCTATAATTAAGCGAGTCAAGTCAGCACCAAATGTGGATGGAGCGTGATGCCTTGCACAGGTGTGCATACCTCCCTGTGTGCGTCAGTGATCCGTGGTTACTCAAACCCCCCCCCGCCCCCCAAAAAAAATAAAACAGACATGGGAACGGTGCAAGAACGCACATGTGTGGACGCACACGGGCACAAACATATGCGCATTAACGTACATGGACAGGCACGTGCGCGCACGTAACCACCCAAGCGCAAACACATAAACACACACGGACACACGCACATACACACACCGACGCTGCATATACAGATGTCCGGATGTCTAGCCTCAACAGATTGTAGGGGCAAGTGCTGTTAGCGAGCACGGCACACGAAGGGGTGGGTGGCCAACACCACGCCCGGCCACCTTTGTCTCCCCCAGTGGTGATGTTTGCACATTGCACCAGGTACTAATTTGAGGTTGAGTCGACCTAGGGGGGTGGGGGGTGGTGCGGGCGTTGGGCCGGCACCGATTAAGACAAGGTGTTGGTCGTGAGCGGGAATGGAACTCGGGGTCGCCGGGTTCGTAGCACCGCACGCCAACCGCCACACTACCGCTCAGCCCCCAGCCGAATCCACACGCACGTACAGCCACCAGCAGGCACACGTGCGCGTCACTCACTGCATCCGTCCTCGTCGCTGTGGTCGCCGCAGTCGTTGTCGCCGTCGCACTGCCACTGCTCGGGGATGCACGCGCACTCCCCCTGCGCGGTGAGCGCGCATGCAAACTGCGTCCCGCTGCACGCGCACTCGCTCCCCGCGGCGCCGCGGGCCGCGCCGCCGGGCAGCTCTGCGGGCGCCACCGCCGCCGCGTGGGAACCTGCGCACGCACGGGGAGGACGAGAAAACGCGCCGTCAGCTTCCGTCGCTCGGCGCAGAGACCGAGCGCGCGCGCGTGGCAGTCGGCGGAGAGACGCGGGCCGGAGTCGCGCGGCGACCAAGGGCATTGGTTCCGTGATGTCGTCTTCGGCGGGGGGGGGGGGGGGGGGGTTGCGGGGTGGACGCGCTCGCTCCGGGACAGCTAGGGACAGACGAACAGACGCTCCCGTGACTCACGTGACTTTGCGAGCGCGGTTTGGAATCAAAGCGGGAGACGGACGATAATGGTCGGAATGTGACGGATGGCCACAGCTTGGGGTGGGGAGGGGGGCCCTTCATCTCAGAATCGGTGAGAAGTTCAGATGTTTAATCTCCCACGTAAAGTCCACTGAGCTACGCGACTCGGCCAGCAGGCAACAGCTAGCAGTGGATAGATCAGGGCTGATGATGATTACATGTTTCAATACGTGTCTGTGGCGCTGCCGGTGGGGAGGATGACCATATGGGACTTAACCTAGCGAGCAGAGCAGCAGGAGTCCCGGTCTTAAGGTCGAAAGGTCAAATCATGCCCATAGTTGACTCGGCCCATTAATCATTAATCATTCCTCTGAGGATTGCGAACTGAGCACCACCTGGTGACAGCGGTGGAATTTGTTAGATAGGGGCCCTGTCACAGGAATGTGGAATGACTCCCACTAGATCAGATCTCCTGAGCGTGATGAGTACATCTCAGTGTTTTTTTTTGGTCATGAGTCGAAGAGGATGATGATCATGATGACGGCTGGACAAGTACCGATCCACCGCCGCAGCGGTTGGATTTATCGCTATTCTCGTCTCGTTCTTTGACTTCCTATTTGTCTCGTTCAGAATTTTCCGTCCCCTTACCATCCATTACCCTACATTTAGCATCAGCAAAAATTAACATGTAAAAACAAAGTTTTTCACTTTAAATCTTTTATATGCGTGGCATCGGTTTTATTTTATTATTCATTTCTGTTTTTCTTGAGTAAGAGTTTCATTTTTATCACATTGGTATCTTAAATTAAACATGAAAAAAAAATGTCCTAAAAAGTGGAAAATTTTGGAAACATTTTTTCACGAAAATACATTGTCACGCACAACGAGTCTGTGTGCAAAATGTCAGCTCGATTGGATCACGGGAAGTGGGTTAAAAAACGACCGAAAGATTTGCACGGTCGTAAGCGCGCAAGCAAGCAAGTGAACTTAATATAAAGGATTTAAAAAAAGAGATCAACGCCTTCGTCAATAACTCCGCGGGGGCTTATATAATTATATAAAATATATAATGGGCAACGTTTCGGGCAACGGCCCTTCTTCGTGGCACGTAGCAAGAGAGAGAGGCATAGTTGATGATGAGCGTTGGAGACTCCGTGGGACCCTGATGAAAATATATTTTTGAAAAATGTCTCCCTTTTTTTTTATTTGAAATAGCCGTCTGAAGTTTCAAACCCAAATTACGGTGAAAAAATCCCCATGACAGACGCCGGTGCGGGCAGGCCTTCCTCCAGCGGTTAGGATCGATAAAACAGCTGTGTGCTACAATCGTTCGTTTATTTCATTCAGACATTCCACACACACACACAGAAAAAAATCCGACTTGAAAATAAATAAAAAATACTGAACCTTTCAAAAATATTCTCTCTCCGGGGCTTATGCGGCACTGTGCATTCGCTACGAACAACGACAACAACTTTGTCACCAGAGGAAAAACATTTATTCGTAACGGTTACGTGTCAAGAGCAGGGTTTGTCGGCTTGGCAAAATGTTCAAGATTTAAGGAGATTTCTCGAATTTAATTTGAATATATTATTTACACTACTTCTGTTCGGCTTACGCCACCACCACAGCCACCACCAACCTCTGTGAGACGGACAATGAAGACTCGGCTCAATAATCACATCTTACAGATGATTTAATTTTGTGTCAATGCAAGAAGCAAAACAACCGCTCCCCCCCCTCCCTCACCGAACCTCGCCATTGTATTCCCAACAAAGCTCCCTATGTCCGGTAATGGGATTATATATTTTCTCGGGGGGGTCAATAAATCTCGTTCAATCGCGGCTTGAGTTTTTGTAACGTACAACCAGCGGCTACAACTCTCGCAGCAAAACACGTGGGTTGACGACAGAGAGGGGGGGGGGGGGGCGGGCGGTGGATCGGCGATGGTGGCGGGGAGGGAGAGAAGCGCAGTTGGAAGTGGCCAAGCGCGAGCACCACAAGAGTTTTTCTCACGATCGCAAACACAAAATAAAACAAAACGAAACGTTCGGCGATTCAGCGCTTTGTTTTAGGCGGCCCAAAAAGGACACGTCAGGCAGGGCTGAGGGCCCACAAAGCACCACGGGCAGGGGGCCGGGGCCCCCTGAGGCTCGTCCTCAAAGCCCTTCCAGCGCTCCCGCGGGGATCGTTTCTAAAGCGGCGCGGGGCCCCCTCCGCGGAGACGCCTCCCCCAGCGGCGGTGACGGCAATGGCCACAGCGGCGGTGGTGGCCGCGGCCACGGTGGCCTCTGCGACTTGGGGAGGCCTCGACCGAAAATCGCTGAGAGAGGCGGGGGGGGGGGGATGAGATGGGATGGGATAGGTCCTGAAAGGGCCCACCTCTGGCTTGATTGGTGGCCACATTTGAGGTTTTCCAGAAAACCGATCCATTGTTTGTTGGGCAGTGGCGGGGGGAGCAGGAGGGTGGAAGAAAGCATCCTCTGCGAACTGTAATTCAAGGGGGTGAGAAAAGGCCCTGTGTGTGTGTGTGTGGCGCAGACCGGGAGGGAGCCCCACTGCGCCGTATTTACGCTGCGTGTTCGGGAAGGAGGAAAGCGTCCTTTCAGGGCTGCTCACATGGCCTCCCCCGGGGCCTCTTTGAGAAGCCCCCGGGGCTAATAGATGCCCACCGCTCAGCAGACGTCCCGTCACAACTTGTTTTTACCGCAACAAGGACAGCGCGGGCCGACGGGCCCTTTAGGATCAACAAAGGCCAAGGAAAGCAAAAGCATAGAGGAGAAATACCCATGAAATTATGATGATGATGATGATGTATTCTTCTTTTGTATGGCTGCTGATGTAGACGCAGAGCAACAACTACAATGTCACATTCAGATGGCCAAGCCAGAAAACCGCGTCAGGAGTAGCGGCTGTGTATTGCCGTGATGTCCCCTTCGCATCGGCGCATTGCGATCCGCAAATACGAAGGAGACGTCGCAGCGATACACCCCGCTGATAAGGCCTTGCCGAGTCTCAAGACTCCTTTTTTGGATATTTGTCCAAATTTGAATTCCTCTTCTCCACTCGCGTGCGACAAAGGCTTATTACCATTGGTGTGGGTCGGGTGACATTAATGACGGTAATAATATTCCACGTTTTTATCCAGGAATGCCGCGCCGAGTCTGAAAACGATTTGACAGGAGGGTCCCGCGTTGACCAATTCGGCGAATGCTTGGCTTCATTCGGGAGGAAATCGAGGGGAAAGCACTCAAAAAACAACCACAAAAATGCATTTAAGAATCCGTTGTTGCAACACTATCTCCTGGCATTGCAGCTCCCAAAGTGCGACGTAGCGAGTCTTGGGGGCAGCGGTCGCAGGGCTCTCACCGCACTGCATTATGGATCGGTTTATCTGTGGAGTTTGATTTTCAGCCACGGCTAACATCCGTGGCTGCCCCCCCCCACCCACCCTTCATCCAACTATACTGACCCACATGGGGAAGTATGGTCAAACAACGGGCACAATCACAAAGGCATGGGAGAGGAATTTATCCAGCAGCGTACACTCGATCCCTGTACTATTGAATCACCTCCCCCGCCACAACTGCTCCATGCCATCGCCACCCCACCTCCACCCAGAACATAACAAAGACAAAGATTCCCCGTATAGCTTCAGCAGACTGTAGGGGCAAGTGATGTTAGCGAGCACCTATGAAGGCCAGAACGGTACACGAGGGGGTGGATGACCAGCACCACGCCCGACCGCCTTTGTCTCCCCAGTGGCGGCGTTTACACACTGCACCGGGTACTCATTTGAGGCCGAGTCGACCTAGGGCAGGCCCAGGACCGGTTGAGATAAGCGTCACTTGTATCGGCCATGAGCGCGAATCAAACCCGGGTCGCCAGGTTCATATCGCAGCGTAGCGCTAACCGCTGCACCACCGCTCCCCACTCACACACGCAGGGACAGATGTTCTGCTGGGAAAGTGCAAAACAAATCGTCCACTCTGCCCACAGGGGACACATCGGACCCGCCGACACCCGCGACCTGCGGCAATCACAGCCCTGGCGGAGAGAACGCAGCGGGCAGAGAGAATGCGAAACGGAAACAAAGAGGACAAGAATTGAAATCGCAAGGGTCTGCTTTGAACAGGACCAAAGAAAATTTCGTCTATTTTTTTTTATTTTAATCAGTGCTGTACAAGCATCTACCATGCAAATGTAGTCAACTATGACGTTCGCATTATGAATGCGGATTATTTTTCTCTCTCTCTTAGCTTTGGTCGTCGCAAAACCCCAAAAATACAACCCCGCGCTCCCCCCCCCTCCCTCCGCCAAGTCCACAGGTCAATCGGCAACGAGCAGCATCCCGCAGGTGTTCACATCTCAGAATCAATCGACTTAGACTGGAGGATATCCGATGAGATATGCATCTCTTTCTCACAGACACCCAGTCGCTTGCCCGCGCCTTGGCTTGAGGATGGCGAGGCGTTGCTGCGTCTGGCTTTGCCCGAGGCGGTGGGGCACCGTGCCCTGGCGAACCCGAGTTCAACTCCCCGACGCGGCTAATGTCAGCGGCGGAGAGCGTGATAACCCCCCTCGCCGAACTTGCAGCTGACCAGCGTGGCGAAGTATGGTCAAACAAGCCTCGCGACCGACGCGGCTTAGCAAGGAACTTTAAACCCGCCGCGGGGCTGGGTTGTAAAACAAGAAAAGGTTCACGTTTATTAGCTTAGTAAGAAAATGTGCGGAGCGGTGCCAAAACATGGGCAGTCGGCAGTC